CAAGTTTTTAATGTACATTCAAGTCCATGCAAAGTAGTGGTTTGAAGTTAAAATGAGTTGCTATAATTCTCAATAGGTGTCTCTGCTTTTAAACAAAATCTAACACATGAATTCAGATCTGGAAGCAGACTCATAAATTATTCTCAGTTAACTACTAACTGAGCTATAAATTCTAAAACATAAAAGTATTTGCTCACATGCATTTTGTCTGTCATTTCTAAAAGAATGAGGAAAAATTTGCTATATGAAGTAAAAGTATCTTGTATGCCAGAGTGATTATCTCCACTCCTTTATTGTGTAGCTGGTCTTCCTGTTTCATAGAGCGTTTAGCTTATAGGACTTATAGAGTCTGTGTTACGTATTCTCAGTAGTAATAGTTTCCTGATTGTCCTTCTAGAGAAAATGTGATGGAAGATATTTGCAGTAAGCTGCAGGAGATCAAGAACCCAATCCAGGCCATTGGGCTGCTTGTGCGGGAAATGGATTATGAGACAGAAGTGGAAATGGAAAAGGGGTTCAGTCCAGGTGAATGACAACAAACGTGTCTCTTTGATTTAGAGAAAACAGTTTAACTCCTTTTAACTTCTTTTCCTTTTTTTTTTTTCTCTTAATTATAGCTCAGCCTTTGAATATTCGAATGAATCTTTCCCAGCTGTATGGTGGTAACACAGCAGCATGCATTGTGTGCAGAGGTGTGTGTAAGATCGCCAGCACTCGCTTCCTCATCTGCCGAGACCTTGTGATATTGCAGCATCTGCTAATGAGGCTGGGGGATGCCGTAAGTACTGCTGGGGGGAGACCTGTACAGTCTCCTCACAGAGCAGAGTGTCGGCTCTCTGAGTGCAGACTTGTCTTTGTTCACTGCTCTGTCACCTACGTATGACCTGTAGCGAGTGTCTAAAATCACAGATCAAGAACATACATGATGGGGACGCCTGGGTGGCTCAGTTGGTTAAGCATCTGCCTTTGGCTCAGGTCATGATGCCAAGATCCTGCGATCTGGCCCCATGTCAGGCTCTCTATTTGGCAGGGAGCCTGTTTTTCCCTCTCCCTCTGCCTGCCTCTCCCCCTACTTGTGTGGGCATTCTCTGTCAAATAAATAAAATCTTTTTAATTAATTAATTAAAATCTTAGAAAAAAAAGAACATAGATGACATGGGGCACCTGCTGACTCAGTCTGAAGAGCATGCGACTCTTGAGTTTGAGTCCCATGTTGGGTGTAGAGATTACTTAAAAATAAATAAGGGCACCTGGGTGGCTCAGTTGATTAAGTGTCAGACTCTTGATCTCAGCTCAGGTCTTGATCTCAGGGTTTGAGTTCAAGGTCTGTGTTGGGGTTCATGCTGGGTGAGGAGCCTACTTTTTAAAAAATAAATAAGCTTAGGGCGCCTGGGTGGCTCGTTAAGCTTCTGCCTTCGGCTCAGGTCATGATCCCAGGGTCCTGGGATCAAGCCCCGCATCGGGCTCCCTTGCTGCACGGGAAGCCTGCTTCTCCCTCTCCCACTCCCCCTGCTTGTGTTCCCTCTCTCACTGTGTCTCTCTGTCAAATAAATACATAAAATCTTTTAAAAAAAACAAGTAAATAAATAAGCTTAAAAAAATCCATGAAGCAGATTATTTTACAATTAATCTTTGTATGTATAGTGATGGGGAAATTTCCCAGGGTGGCTTTCCCAAAATTTAGTATTGTTAGTAACTACTTTGCATGTGATAACAAGATACCATTTAGTGTAGAAGAGAAAGGAAAAAGAAGAAAAAGAACTCTTATTTCTGCAGTACAAAATTTAGCCTAGGCACATTTTTTTCTTTTAAGATGTATATGTTTATTTGAGAGAGATAGCGTGTGCACTGCGGGAGGCCAGGAGGGAGAGAGAGAATCTCAAGCAGGCTCCATGGCCAGCATGGAGCCCAACTCGGGGCTCCATCTCATGACCCTGGGGTCATGACCTGAGCCAAAACCCAAGAGTCAGACACTCAACCAACTGCACCACCTGGGGGTCCTCCCAACTCCATTCTGTGCTTCCTTTTCCATCCTAGTCTTCTTAGACCACCAGACTCTTGTCTTGTTGTCTCGTAGTCCTTGTTTCCCACGCTACTAAATGTTCCATGTTTAGAGATTGCCTTTCTGCCCTCAGGCAGAAGCCCCACTCGTCTGTCAGTTGGTCATCTCATCCTGGCCTGACAAGGGAGCAGTCTGGTTCACTAACTCATGTTAATGTATAAAGAACTGCAAGGCCTTTGGGACTCCCAAAGCTGTTCATATATTTTAAATCAGAATTTATTAACTCAAATACGTTGATAATGGTAGAATTTCGGGTAAAAATAAGGAGGACATTTAGGAAGATGATTTAAGACCACCCGGGAGACACAGGAGCCTTTCCTGAGAGCCTGGTACTCAAGGCAGCCCTTACTGAGTTCTTTTCAATCTCTGCAGTCTTCCATTTATTTCCTCAGTAGTTTTTGTGGGGCATTTGTTTGTTTGTTAATTATAACCATTGTTTTTTTTCTAAGTACAGAAGTAATAGATGTTCATCATAGAACCTTTGTATGTAAGCCTCTGTCTATAAACAAAAAAAAATTAAAATTCATCTGTAATTGACCCAGTGACAACTGGGATAGCATTTTGGTGTACACCCTTCTTTCTCTGCACACGTTTTATTTCTAGAATTAGGATATGCTACGTGGTATTTTTGTAATCTGATTGTTTTTATTCTACCTTACACAGCTCATCAGTATTTTCACAGGTCATTAAGTATTCTACAAAACTATTTTTATAGTTAACCTAGCACAGTTTTATTCAACCAGTCCCATTTGTGGCCATCCAGGTTGTTGCCAGTTTTTTCCTCATACCTATAAATACCCGTACACCTCTACTGTATCTTTGAGATAAATTCTCAGAACTCAGAATTGATTGGTCCCAGGCTATGCACATTTTTAAGGCTTTTGGTGGTATTGCCCAAATTTCCTCTAATGTTGATAACTATTTTTATCCAAGACTAGTAACATAAGGAAGGGCTTAGATTTCCCTGTTCCTGTTCTTGAATTCTGAGCCCACAGATTCAGTGAAAATTACACTTTTGCTTTCTCTTTCACCATCAGCATTTTTGTACTGTTACATCTTTGGGTAGATATTTTTGCTACCCTAAAATTTAATAGGTGTGTTGCCTTTATGTACATATGTCGCTTTTTTTGTATGCCCTTTGTAACTGTGTTTGTTATTTATTTTACCTCTACCTGAACCTTAAGAGTTATCACTAATCGCTGTGTATGGTCTCACCCACCCACTCATCATGTATAGGTGATCTTGGGAGCTGGTCAGCTCGTTCAAGACCAGCAAGACCTACTACATCGAACAACTCCTCTACTCTTATCTTATTATCTCATTAAGTGGGGAAGTCAGTGCTTGGCAACTGATGTTCCAGTTGACACACTGTGAGTTTCAGTATTCTGGTTATTTTTAAAATGCGAGTTTGATTATTTTTTTCATTGTCTTAAAAATTGTAAATGTTATGCGGTTCCATGATTTGCCCATAAAATTCAGAGAGCATTTAGCTGCTTCAATTTCTAAAGGTTGAAGGCAGTTTATAAAAAGAATCAAAATACTAGATATACATTATTATATATGTGGTTTTTTGAAGAGAAAAAATGTTTATTCTGGAGTGGAAATGAAAAATATATATAATTTCTAAAATTTGTCTTTTCTTAGAAACTGTTGAGAGAGGTAGTTTTTCACTAACCATGCGTTTTTTTATGCTTTTTCTAAAATTGAAATAGAGTTGACACACAATGTTACCTGAGTTTCAGGTGTACCATTATTACATATGTGTGTGTGTTTAATGTAAAGATAAATCCTGTTGAAGGCCAAATAGTCAGATGAGGTCACAGGGCAAGTTAGACCACGCACAAAAACATACTAGTTATGAAAGGTAGGCTGAGCTGCTTTATAACCAAAAGAAAAAGAATCCTTTACTTAAAAGAATTACATTTTCAATAAGATAAACTGTCCTGTTTGGCAATGTCCTTTCAGTAGAGCTTTTATATGTAACTTATTAAATTGACAGTGTTGTTTGGAGAAGAACTTGTAGTAATGTTTGTGTAGAAGAACTGCTGTCTTTTTCTCTGTTCTCCCAGGGAGTCCAATTTACAACACTTGTCAGTACTGGAACTGACAGACTCTGGTGCTGTAATGGCAAATAAGTTTGGTAAGGACTAGACTGTATGCATTTGATTTTAAATTTGGCTTTTATTGCATATTCATTAAATCTGATTGTAATGGCAAATGCCACCTCTACTGTGGAAAGATTGGGTAGGCTGTGCTTTCACTTTGGGAGGTTCATAAGTGAGCTGTGGCCTGAGACCTGTGACAGGGAGTCCATGAAACCCCGAGAAACCCAAATCAGGCATAGACTAAGGGTGTTGCATATATAAACATATATGTATGTGTGTATTCCTGCTTTTCTATTGTATATTGATACTCTGGTGATTAATTCAACAAAATTAGTTTTAAAATTTAAGTTCATGGTAGCTTTTGTAATCTTGTCTTAATACATATTTAAAAGGCATCGTCTCTCATACTTGAGAACCATTCTGGAAATTTGTTTTGTATTATTTTGGTATAAAACTTGGAATCTGGAGACCGTATTTACTGTAAACACTCCCTAAGGAAGACGCTTAGGTGTAGTGAGATCAGTGAAGAGAAAAGGACATGAGTACACTGTTGATTTAAGTGTTTTTTTTATTGCATTTGTATGGTACTTCACACTTTATAATAAGCTGCTTTTATTTATGTTGCCAATGATTACACCCATGGTGCATTTTATATTTTGAAATAATGTTCTTTATTATAGGCATAAAATGAATTAGACTATCTTAATTGAAAATTGGCACTATCACAAGTTGATGATTGTCATAACTTTTTCTTTTTAAGTATCTAGCCCTCAGACAATTGTGGAATTATTCTTCCAAGAAGTTGCAAGAAAACATATCATATCTCATCTCTTCTCTCAACCAAAGGCACCTCTGAGCCAAACTGGGTTGAATTGGCCTGAGATGATTACTGCAACTACCAATTATTTGTTGCAGCTTTTGTATCCTTTTATTTAAAAGCCAGTTAGGGGGCTCCTGGGTGGCTCAGTCAGTTGGCTAAGTGGACGACTCTTGACTTCACCTAAGGTCATGATCTCTGGGTCCTGGCATCAAGCCTTGCATTGGGCTCCGCAGTCAGCAGGGAATCTGCTTGAGGATTCTCTCATCCCTCTCCCTCTCTTCCTCCCCCGACTCATGGCGCATGCACTCTCTCTCACTCTCTCAAATAAATGAATAAATCTTTAAAAAAATGAAAGCCAGTTAAAAGGTGTTTTCTGTCTAAATAGCCTAAGGCTCTTATTCTCCCTGGATAATGAAGATTCTCAGTGAGATTGGGTGCTTATTCCCCCAACAGGAAATGATAATATTTACTCTCAGATATCCCAATTTGTATTTTATTTTGTTTTATTTTCCTCCGGACTTAGCCAGATTTTCTTGGTACACAAATACTTAATACCCAGATCTCTTAAAACACTGTATGTTCATCAGGTATTTATTGAATGGCTCTGTATGTCAGACACTATGGTAGATGCTGGGTGTCCACTGGCACCAAAGGTCTGTATAGTATACCAGAACTGGCAGTGATCGCCCAGGGATGAAATACATGGGTTAGCCCATAGATTGAATTCTGAGCTAGGTGACTAGGCTTCTAATATATAACGTTTAAACGATGGGGCGCCTGGGTGGCTCAGTCGTTAAGCGTCTGCCTTTGGCTCAGGTCGTGATCTCCGGGGTCCTGGGATCGAGCCCCGCATCGGGCTCCCTGCTCGGCGGGAAGCCTGCTTCTCCCTCTCCCGCTCCCCCTGCTTGTGTTCCCTCTCTCGCTGTGTCTCTGTCAAATAAATAAATAAAATCTTTAAAAAAAGAATAACCTTTAAACCGTGTTTGTCTAATACAAGAACACGTGCTCTGCCACCCTCTCTTACCTTCTTTTTTAAAAATCAAGTCACTGCATGGAGTTTGATGCCCAATATGTATATATATTTTAAGTTTGCCAGAAAAGTAGAAAAATCTCCTTATCCAGTGACTAGATGGCCTAGCAATCCCGGATGTCTCTTTCTGGAATGTTTGATGGGGAATTGTCAGTATGTACAATTGCAGGTGAGTACAGTTTAATCATTCTTGTAAAGAATGGGATTTCTGGAATTTTTTCCTTTATAAATGTTACCTGTATTTTAATTGGCTGATAATAAGAACCACAGTAATTTAAACTTGATTGCACCAAAATATACCCCAGAGACATTTTCTTTACTTCTCTCTTAACATGTCATTCCTAATTTTTTTTCCTAGGGTATCTTGTTTTGCTTTTTTAATCCTGTTGGTTCTCTTTATACTAAAACAAACATAACATTGTCTTCATATAAATCCTTTACAGGAATCTCGTCATTAAACCAGTAAAGACCAAAAGTTGAAAATTGCTAAGTTGGATAAGTGTATGTGTTTTTACATGTGTTGGTGGTATTAGAGTAGATTAACAGGATTAGATTTTAATTTCCAGATGATTTTAGGAAATACACCTTTTGTGTTGATTGACCACTATCTTCTTTCCCTCTTTGAAAAACTTGGGAATGGTTATCTCCTTATATTTATTTTCTAATCAGAGAGCAACTTTTATGCCTTTAAGGATTATATTCAACTGCTACGTCCCTGGTGTCAAGTCAATGTTGGTTCCTGTCGATTTATGCTGGGACGGTGTTACCTGGTTACAGGAGAGGGACAGAAGGTAAATTGCATTTGAATGATGAACCAACTTCAGTGCAAAGAGGGCACTTGGTCTCCATCTAAACTAGGTTGGGGGGTGGAAGGCACAGAATCCTCCAGATGTGGGTAAAGACGATTAGTGCCAGCAGGAGCCGTGTGGGGGTTGTTCAGCTTTCATGTGCTTTGCAAATTAGTTAGAACATGGGAAAACATGAAGAAGAAAACGTTAAAACCCTTTTGCCCCTGTGTAGGTGTTTTTAAGGACAAATTTTTTTTTAATTTTATGCTACTTTCTCGCCCCATTATGGAAGTTTACCTTTCTAAGTTGTTCCCTGACATCCTATTTATGTGAATTTTCAAATATGCAGAAAGTTTAAAGACTTAAACAATCATATACTCACCACTCGAATTCTACAAATGTTAACAGGTTACTATGCAACTGTATATTTATCCATCAGATTTCTTATTAAAAATATCATTTAAGTTAAAAATGAGATAAATTAAGAAAAATATTAAATATGTGTCAGAATTTAGAATGGCAGAAATTGTAAATGTAGTCAACAGTCTTAATTTTTCTTTTTTGGCTTTCCTTTAGCACCTGCCCTCCCCCTCCCCAACTTTTAAGCACCTAGAATTAGAACAGTCCATTATAAGTCATTTTGTGTTCTTTTATTTCTCCAGGCTCTGGATTGCTTCCGCCATGCAGCATCTGAAGTGGGCAAAGAGGAGTTCTTGGATCGCTTGATTCGCTCAGAAGATGGGGAGATTGTGTCCACCCCCAAGATGCAGTATTATGATAAGGTATATTATGGTGTGGTTTGGTCCTTCTTATACACCACCCTGTGTAAAAATGTATCTGAAATCATTGCTTTTGTGTTTGGGGAGAAAAGTAATGTAAAAATTTAATTGTTCCCTGAACTTCCAAGAGAAGAGAAATTAATTCCCTGGAGAAATTAAAGAAAATGTGTATTTTAATGAAATTGGTAATGTTTTTAACTTAAGTGAAATTCCTATCATGATACCAGTTTGTTAGCCTGGTCATCAGAATTTTACTGATAGTAGTCTTGCCTAAATCTCAAGGAATTAACTTGGAATGCTGTATTTAGCCTTAGTTTAATATTTGGACCTCGGTGTCTCTCCTGGCCTTTTTTCCTGTCACTCTTTTCTCTGATCATTCAGTTCTAGAGAGAGTGGCCTGCTTACTGTCTCATGCAAGCCAGGCATACACTCTGTTCCCTTCAAGACCTTTGTACCTGCTGTTCCCCTTTTTCCAGATAGTCAAGCCTCAAGTCCTCATTTCATTGAAGTCTCTGTGCCTCTGTCACCATAACATTTAACCATGCTTGATGTTTAGATTTTAGATAACTATTTGTTGTCATCTGAATTTCCCACCAAAAAGTAAATGACAAAGGCAGGCTTAACCATTTTGTTCATTGCTTGTAAAAGGGACAAATGATTTTTTTTTTTAACTGAGCTCTATGCCCAGTGTGGGCTTGAGCTCATGACCCCGCGATCAAGAGTTGCATGCTCTACTGACTGAGCCAGCCGGGTGCCCCAAGATAAATGAATTTCTACTGAAAGAGATTTGTAGCTCTTAATAACCCTCCACCATCCTTCTGATGAGAAAATTATTTTGAATTCTAAGGATTTTTTTTTTAAGATTTATTTTATTATTTATTTATTTGAGGGAGAGAGAGAGCACGTGAGTGGGGTAGGGAGAGGGAGAGAATTTTAAGCAGGCTCCAAGCTCAGCATGGAGCTCACTGAGGGTCTTGATGTCACGACCCTGAGATCATGACCTGAACTGAAATGAAGACTCGGTCACTTAACCTACTGAGCCACCCAGGTGCCCCAGTTTTTTGCTTGTTTGTTTGTTTTTAAGTAATCTCCACACGCACTGTGGGGCTCAGACTTACCACCCCAAGCAAGAGTTGCACACTCTGCCACCTGAGCTAACCAGGCACCCCGAATTCTAAGGATTTTTTAATCTGAGGCTGGCTAGATTTGAGGAATTGGTAAATCCCCTGAAATTGTGTGCAAAATGTTGCTTGTATTTTTTCTGTGGAGAAGCTCCATAGCTTTCATCAGAAGAAAGTTACTGATTCAAAAAACATGATAAATCACTGCTCCCGATGGACCCCAAGGTGGGCCATTGAAGAAAATACTAGAACTCTCACAGAAGAAATAAATTAAGATGTGCTAAGGTTTAATATAAGGATCAACCCTGGTGCTTTTATGTGGTCCTTTACCAGGTGGTCACTTGTCATTTAGTCTCAAGGTAGGCATCTGAAGGAAGAGGGAAGTTGTCATAGCTAGGGCAGGGGTTCAGAGGGGCACCTACACTACTCCATTTGATTTCAGTAGATTATGTTTGCCTGCTTAAATTGATGTATACATGATATTGCTTCATTTTAATACAAATCACCTCCACAATTTTAAAAAAAATCCTGCAAAGAAGCCAGATTAAGAAAGTACAAGCAAATGAGGACAAAATAGGGCTGATACTTTTCCCTTTGATACAGGCTCTTCGTCAGCCATATTGCAAGGTAAAAACAGTAACAGTCTATAATCAGATCTGACAAGAATCAGCTGATAACAGTTGAACTTCTCAGGAATGCTATTTTAAAATCTAAGTAAGTGTATCTTGAATTAAAATGTCAACTCAGGATAATAAGAAACCATGATAATTATTGGACGCCTAGGTGGCTCAGTCGGTTAAGCGTCGCCTTCGGCTCAGGTCATGATCCCATGATTCCCAGGGTTCTGGGATGGAGTCCCGCATCGGGCTCCCTGCTCAGCGGCGATTCTGCTTCCCCCTGTCCCTTTGCTCCTCCTCCCCTCTGCTCCTACTTTCTCTCAAATAAATAAATAAAATCTTTAAAAAAAAAATTTATCAAGGCATTAAGCATCCTAATCACCTGTAGTGGAGTATAAATTAGTTACAACCACTTTGAAAAACTGTTGGTATTTACTAGCTGCAATCATTGATATACCCTATGACCCGGTTATTCCAATTCTAAATATTTCCATAAACATATACATACTTACCAAAAGAGATGTACAATCATGATCCAAGCAACATATTCATAAAACTCATACACTAGAAACCCAAGTGTCCATTGACAGAATGGATCCATAAATTATGGTATATTCTTTGAATGGAATACCATAGCAATGAAAGGAAATGCTGCATATAATAACGGATCAGTCTTATAAACATGTTAAGCAAAGTAAGACAGACACACACAAAAATACATACCATAAGATTCTATTTCCATGAAATTAAAAACAACCAGTAAAAGTCAAAAGAGGCTGGAAGGAGTCACGTGGGAGCTTTGGAATGCTGCTATGTTACAATTCTTATTTTAGGAGCTTGTTACGTGGATATGTTTACTTTGTGAACATTCAGTCAGCTGTTTACCTGGGATTTATGTACATTTCTAAACATATGTTATAGTTCAAGAAAAAGTATAAAATAAAAACTAAGCATCCAAAACAAAAAGATGTTTTATACTGTTAATAAAGAAAAGAATAAGTACTAATAAAAATTATTCAAAACTTTTTTATCTTTATTTCATCCTCTATAAATTTATATGTTGAGTGTGTTAAACATTAATTAGAGAGCTGTGTGTACATAAGTAAATACATGTGCATGTGCGCACAGACGTTAATAGGGTGGACAGTCAAAAAAGTTTGAAGAGCACTGTTCTGTCTTGTATTAGAAATGGATTATGTCAGCAGGGAGTCTGCTTCTCCCTCTGATCCTCTTCCCTCTCGTGCTCTCTATCTCTCATTCTCTCTGTCTCAAATAAATAAATAAAATCTTTAAAAAAAAAAGAAATGGATTATGTCAAACATTATTCTCTTTCGGGTTTTATAAGGCTATGTTGGCAATTTATTTTCCAGGCTTTAAATTCATCTATGACCTAAACAGTTACTAGGAAAAGTCAGTAGTGAAATTGCATGTGTTCCTTCAACAAATACTCACTAAGAGCCCACTGTGTACTAAACACTGAACATAGAGCCGTGAACAAAAAAACCAATAGGGAATTTTACAGTAAGCCTGTTATTTGACAGTAGAATCTAAAGGAAAGTCTTATTTTATTTATTTATTTTAAGTAATCTCTACACCCAGCGTGGGGCTCAGACTCACGACCCGGAGATCAAGAGTCACGTGCTCTTCCGGCTGAGCCAGCCAGGCGCCCCTAAAGGAAAGTCAAATATTAACCAAATAATCCTGTCTTGTAGTCAACATCTTTGATTCAGTCTTCATCTTAACTAGTTATCTTTCTGATTGATATAATTCCTATTTCAATTTGAAGTGCACTACCGTATTAATTTTAATGGAAACTCCCTCTATTTCTCCTCAGGTTTTGCGTCTACTAGATGTTGTTGGTTTGCCTGAGCTGGTTATTCAGTTGGCTTCGTCAATATTAACTGAAGTAGGTGGTGACTGGAAAAGTCAGGTAAGAATGAACTATAATGTAGTTATTTCCCTTTAGATTTGTCCTGGATGTGGGATTTTAATTGCTATTGTTTTTTCCCCCCTGTATTTGACATTTAGGCTACCTTAAGGACATGCATTTTCAAACATCATTTGGATTTGGGTCACAATAGCCAAGCATATGAAGCCTTAACCCAAATTCCTGATTCCAGCAGGTAGTCAATCCCAGTCTTTTTTAGAGAAGGCAGTTTACCAGCCCTGTTTAATCCACTGAGACAATTTGCCCTCATGTCCCTTTTTTTTTCTCCTAGGCAGTTAGATTGTCTGCGGCAGCTGGTGGTAGTTCTTTGCGAACGCTCACAGCTACAGGATCTTGTAGAGTTTCCCTATGTGAATCTGCATAACGAGGTAATTTTATTTGTCCACTGATGACTGGACACAGCCGTGGTGGTTGTCATGCTCGCTACTAACTTTGGTATCTAATTGCTTCCCCCTCGTTAGGTTGTGGCAATAATTGAATCACGTGCGCGAGCTGTGGACCTTATGACTCACAATTACTATGAGCTCCTCTATGCCTTTCACGTCTTTCGCCACAATTACCGAAAGGGTGAGCAGTTGAAGCCAACAGTCTTTGTTAGGGGCAACCTTAGCAGTTTAATCGTGTTTTATAAAAATACTGTTTGACTTATGTAATTTTTACCTTATTTTCACCATGAATGAGTGTTCTCTATAAGCATTTGGGGAAATTATGTTTAATTACAAGATTAGCTTCACCCTTTTGAAGATCAACTGTTAGCCTTAAAGACATGCAATTTCTAGAACATTCTTGAGGCATTTCCAGTGAGATGTCATTCTATCCATATCTTCTGTCTGATTTTAAAAGAAACTTTAACTTTTTTACTAGAGGCATCTTGAATTCTTGTGGCTGGTTTTGAGTTCTTGTGCCAGCTTGCTATTGCCCTTATTTTTGCTAATTCTTTTGAGAGTAAGTTGTAGATGTCATGTTTCAATGTATAAATGCTTAAGATGCGTCTGCTGAGGACATTTTCTTAGATAACCTCAATACGATTATCAGATTAAGGAAATATAACTAATGTCATTAATTAAATGTAAATATAATGCTATCGTGATTTTTTTAATAGCACATTCCTCCCATACCGTCCTTACCCCCTGATTAGAATCACACATGGCATTTATTTGTCTTGTCTCTTTAGTCTCCTTTAATCTGGAGCACTTCTTTTTGCCTTACTTTACCTTGATGTCGTTGATATTTTTGAAGAGTACAGGCCAGTCGTTTTTGTAGAATGTATCTTAGTTTGGATTTGTATGATGACTGATGAAGTCTTTATCAGAACAGCTAAAATGGTGGTAAGCATAGCATAACACATAGGGAAGTTGAATCGCTGTGTCGTACATCTGAAACTAATGTGGCATTGTCAGCTATACTCAAAAAGATTTAAAAGAAAAAAAAAGCAAAATCTTTGAGACAGAAAAAAAAAGAACAGCTAAGAAGGAATTGTATGTCTGTTTTAAGATCACATTTTTCAAGATAACCATTGTGGTTCTCCTTTGGAACTGGTAATATTTTTTACCATTTTCCCCCTCAGAGAACTTTTCATAAGGTTTCTTGCTAATTTTCGTTGGAAGGAATAGATGGAAGTAATTCATAAACATGCTGTTAATTTTCCTAGTGGTGAAACGTTTGCGGATTCCTTATATTCTTGACTCATACAGACAGGGACATGTAGATGATTAAAGATCTCTCACTGTTTGCTTTTACAGTGACAATATCCATTACATCAACCTGGTTAAGATCACTTTAGCTGGGGGCCCCTGGGTGGCTCAGTCAGTTAAAGCGTCTGCCTATGGCTCAGGTCACGATCTCTGGGTCCTGGGATCGAGCCCTACATTGGGCTCCCCACTCAGTGGAGAGTCTGCTTCTCCCTCTCTCCCTCTCCCTGTGCCCCTGCTTGTGCTCTCTCACTTTCTCTCTCTCAAATAAATAAATAAAACCTTAAAAAAAAAAAAAGACCACTCTACCTGAATTCATGCTCAGATCTTTCTGGAGCAAGACTTGCTATCCTAAAAAATGTCTTAATATGGCAGGCACTCAGAAACATTTGTTGGCGGGCTAAAGTCAGTCATTTTCATTTTAAATAAAATTATATGAATTTTAAAACTGTTGGAATGAAAAATAGTTTCATGTGAAAACTAAAAGAAATGTTAAATGCGGGGCGCCTGGGTGGCTCAGTCGTTAAGTCTCTGCCTTCGGCTCAGGTCATGATCCCAGGGTCCTGGGATTGAGCCCCACATCGGGGTCCCTGCTCAGCAGGAAGCCTGCTTCTCCCTCTCCCACTCCCTCTGCTTGTGTTCCCCCTCTCGCTGTCTCTCTCTCTCTGGCAAACAAACAAACAAACAAAAAAAAATGTTAAAGACTCTGGTTTCTGGAGTCTCATGCTGCCTCAGAACAAGGTGTTTTTCAATATTTCATTCAGCTTGTGTGACTAAAGTATTATAAAGATAATCCATTCTTGAGCAGAGCATCCAAATATTTCTTGGTCTCGCTGGGTGGAATTAAGTAAAAATGGCTGAAACTAGCATTCTAAACTAGTCTTGTGTACTATCTGGAAATGTAGTATCTAAAAGGTAGAAGTAGGGACACCTGGCTGGCTCAGTTGGTAGAGCTTACGACTCTTAATCTCAGGATCATGAGTTCACGCCCCACGTTGGGCATAGAGAATCACTTTTAAAATGAATGAATGAATGTCGGAAGTAACATTTACAGATTTTTTTCTTTTTTTTCTTAATTGTAGTAAAATAGACATAACATAAACTCTACTAACTTAACCAATTTTTAATATTCAGTAGTGTTATGTATATTCACATTACTGTGTAACCAGTGTCCAGAACTTTTCATCTTGCAAAATGGAAACACTATACTCATTAAACAACTTCCATTTCCGCCTCCTGCAGCCCGGGCAACCATCATTTTACTTTCTGTCTCTATGAATTTGGCTATCGGAATCCTAATGTATTTGTCTTTTTGTGACTGGCTTATTTCACTTAGTCTAATATCTTCAAGGTTCATCCATGTTATATTATGTGTCAGAACTTCCTTCCTCTATTATGTGTATGTCACATTTTGTTCATCCAGCCATCAGTGGACACTTGGATTGCCTTCCTCTTGGCTATCCTGAGTAATGGCTGTGTGAACAAGGGCACACAAATATTTCCTCAAGACCCTGCTTTCAATTTTCAGGCTATATGCCCACAAGTGAAATTGCTGGATCACAAGGTAATCCCATTTTCAATTTTTTAAGGAACTGCCATACTGTTTTCCATAGCAGCTACACCAGTTTACATTCCCACCAGGAGTGTACAGAGGTTCTAGTTTTTCCACATCCTCACCAACACATGATTTTTTGTGGTTTTAAGTTAAACTCAATTTTGTTTTAAGTTTTAATATTTGATAAGTATAACAAATTCTCTAAAACACATTTTTTTAAAAAGATTTTTAAGTAATATCTACACCCAACATGGGGCTCAAACTTAAGAGCCGTATGCTGTTCTGACTGAGCCAGCCAAGGCACCCCTCTAAAACACATTTCTGAAGTTCTGATGTTTAATTTATTATTGCCTCCTAGCTGGTACGGTGATGTTTGAATACGGAATGCGTCTCGGCAAAGAGGTTCGAACTCTGCGGGGACTTGAGAAGCAAGGCAACTGTTATTTGGCTGCTGTTAACTGTTTACGACTTATTCGTCCAGAATATGCATGGATTGTACACCCAGCATCTGGTGCAATGGTATGAAAGCTTTCCACCTTGCAGTTTGGGAAGAATCATTTAACTTACTTGGTTTGGTCCTTTTGAAACTATCGCCTTATATTGCTTCGTTTTGTTTAAAATTTCTACTGGGATATTTGTGAACTTCATCTATTTTTGCAGCAATTCCATTGTTATATATTACCACCCCTTTAGTTCTCAAGTTTAGAATTATTCTAGGAAGAAGTATTGCATATGGTTTTGAGTTAGACCTAACTTCAAGCAAATTACTTAATTTTTTGCTGCTGAGTTATCCTCTTGTATAAAATAGGGATGATGGTGATGATGATAATGTCCACCCTACAGGATTGTTTGGATACTAAATGAGGTAATTCATACAGATTGCTTAGAACAGTGACAGTGCCTGGCCTGCAAAAAGTGCTCAGTAAATGGCAGCTGCTTTTATTTCATTTATTTTTGTTAATTCAATCTACAATTACCGTTTTAAAGGCTGTGTACTTAAAAAAAAATGGTGATGGGGTCATATATGTGCAACTTCTCGTGTTGTATATCATTCCTGCATGTACTAGCTGTTTCCAAGGGTCTGGGGTAGAGAATATAACTCTGGAACCAAGGAAAGTCATGTGGTTTAATTGGAGGTTAAGTCCACGTCCTTAGACCCAATAACATGTTAGAGCAAAGTGGGCCAACTTGGCAAACAACTCCATTCCTTTGATAGTTACAGTACCTTTGTAAGAAGAGCCATGCTAGTTGAAATAAGCATAATTTATGTGTAGAGAACTGAAGCATGAAAGCTCTGGATCACACTTAGTGATATCAAAATAAGATACAGCTGACTCTTGAGCAACACGAGTTTGAACTGCGCAGGTCCACTTATACACGGTTGTTTTCAATAAATGCAATAATGTAGGGGCACGGGGCGCCTGGGTGGCTCAGTCGTTAAGCGTCTGCCTTCGGCTCAGGTCATGATCCTGGGGTCCTGGGATCGAGCCCCGCATTGGGCTCCCTGCTCAGCAGGAAGCCTGCTTCTCCCTCTCCCGCTCCCCCTGCTTGTGTTCCCTCTCTCGCTCTGTCTCTCTCTGTCAAATAAATAAATAAAATCTTTAAAAATAATAATAATAATAATAATGTAGGGGCACCTGGGTGGCTCGGTCAGGCGCCGGCCTCTTGATTTCAGCTCAGGTCATGATCTCAGGGTTATGGGATCAAGCCCCGAGTCGGGCTCAGAGTGGAGTCTTCTTGAGATTCTCTCTCCTTCTCCCTCTGCCCCTGCCCCCACTCATACGTTCTCTCTCTAAATAAATAAATTTTTAAAAATAAATAATTTTTAAGGAATCTTTTTAAACATGTAAATGTATTTCTCTTCCTTATGATTTTTTGAATAACATGTTCTTTTCTCTACCTCCCTTTATTGTGAGAATACAGCATATAATACAAATGACAAAAATATATGTTAATGACAGTTTATGTTCTTGGTAAGGTTTTTAGACAACAGCAGGCTATTAAGGTTTTGGAGGAGTCAGAAGTTATATGCAGATTTTCAACTGTGCAGGGCATTGGCACCCCTAACCCTCATGTTGTTCAAGGGTCAACTGTACTAACTTTTCAACTTTTCACTAACTTTTAATCACTTGTTTTGTCTTCTCAGTATGATCGTCCTGGAGCATCCCCTAAGAGGAATCATGACGGAGAATGCACAGCTGCTCCAAGTGAGTGGGGGGGGGTCTCCCTTGGATTCTTGGGTTAGACAGTAATTATGTAGTTGTGTTATAGTATTATCTGTATTAAATGTGTGTTTTTATGTAGTAGTTGTAATATGTATAGCAATGTAAAAATATTGTAAAGTTTCTTTTAGCTTATGTTCAGTATTTTAATCTGCTAAAAGTCGTCTGGTTGCTCTCTGAAAACTTTGTATGGCTGTATGAGAAATGAAAATGCTTTAAAAAGTGTTGCTTGCTGTATTTAAGTCAGCTTAGTATTAAACTTGTTTTATCAGGGCCCTTGGATATTACCAGGGAGACATGATATTCCTCCCTAAAGAGGCTGGGCTCTAGACTTGGACACACCTGGTTTTAATTCTGCCTCTCGCTGTGGGCATGTTCCTTTCTTTCTGATACAGTAATAGCATCTCATAGTTGTAAGAGTTAAATGAAGTTCTGTGTAAAACACATTTGTAAGCATCTCCTCAACTGCGGCTGTTGTTACTGTAGTTTGATTTGACTGACTGAGCTGCATGCTGGAAGCTGGGCTGTTGCTTTATTTTTAAGTTTGCTTTCATGGAGCCCCCCGTTTTTCCTCCAGTGCCCTTGGACTTCACGTTGAATTACTTAATGTTTTGTGGAAACTGACAGGCTGAGTTAATAGGCACTGATGATAGGCACTTCCTTTGTACTTTGGGAATCAAAAATATTTTTCTTTGGCTTCTAGCCAATCGGCAGATTGAAATTCTGGAGCTGGGCGACCTGGAGAAAGAGTGTTCCTTGGCCCGCATTCGCCTCACTCTCGCTCAGCATGACCCCTCGGCAGTTGCGGTTGCAGGTAGTAATGTGGCAGTCTGGGGACACTGTCAGCAGGCTTCGGGGCCGGCCGGCCGGCGCAGTATGCTAGAGCAGCATGCCAGACGGGCTGGGCGCCTCTCGCTGCTACTCGGAGAGGCTCGTCGCCAGAGGCGGCTTTGGGTCATTGACAGACACCATCTTTGCCTCTAAACAGTTCTTTTCCATTTCCACAGGAAGTTCGTCAGCAGAGGAGATGGTCTCTCTCTTGGTTCAGGCTGGCCTTTTTGACACTGCCATATCACTCTGTCAGACTTTTAAGCTCCCCTTAACGCCAGTCTTCGAGGGACTTGCTTTCAAGTATGTACGAAATTGTCTTTCTGTGGTCTTCATTCTCTAATGCAGAAGTATTGCACTGCTGCCTGGTGTGAACCAGTGGTCATAGCCAGTTGTGCTTTAAAGAAATGTTTTTTTCTAGTCCACCACAGTGACTTTTTAAAATTTCTTTTAGTTAATTATAATTTTTTTAATCTTGATTTATGGCTTCTCTTGAGAAATCAAAAAATTTGGCATCTCTAGGCCCACATTCCCACGGGACAGTAGGATATGTGGCCTAAATTGTGTCCGTTTTAGAAAAGGCATGTGTTCTTTTCAGTCCTTTAGGACAGCCATCAGCCCCTGTAAGCATTTTTAATAATTCTTTGTACCTAAATATTCAACTTTCAGAATTTTCCCCTTGAAAGTAAATGATCTCTTAACACTTACCGATGGCCTTGTAGATCATGCAGTTGTGTGGCTGTGAGGAAAAGCCAACACCCCAGTAGTGAATTCAGTGGCAGACTAGCGCTAAAGTTATCTCATCTCTGATTTTAGTAAGAAAACAATGTGGTTCTTTTTCACAAATTAGTTTACCGTGTGTGGAACCGTTTCATTGCAGATGCATCAAGTTGCAGTTAGGAGGCGAGGCGGCGCAAGCAGAAGCCTGGTCCTGGCTAGCAGCCAATCAGCTCTCATCGGTCATCACCACTAAGGAGTCTAGGTACAGCCCTAGTGCTCATCCGCCCCAAAAGGGCTTACCCTCCAAATTCTTCCCTCGTGCACTCAGTTAGTGTCTACTGAATGCACTTCAGCCTCTTTAAAATCCTTCTCTAACCCTGACCTTCAGGAAACTTCCCTTCCTTGAATCGAATTTACAGTTTCTGTTGCACAGCTCAGCACTTTAGAACTGGAACATTTTACAGTTTGGAAATGCTCTGACATTAGTTTTCAATCCCTAAGTTAGCACACCAGTATCACTACTAAAATACAGATATATCACCCTTGTCTTCTAAATCAGAACTTCTACATGATTCTAATGCTTGATTGGGTTTGGAAACAGTGATCTGAGCCAGTTTCCTTGTTTTAGAGATCTGGAACAAAGAAGTTAATCGAATTGTGTAGTCAAGTAAAGATGTACTTAGTGGGAGAGAAATAGAATCCATGTCATTTGGTTTCTAGTACTACCCCTAAACCACACTGACCCTAATAATATTAGTCGCCATTTAGTTATATTATCAATTCAGTTGTGAGCTTCTAAAGATTCTTTTTCCTTGTAAATACATGCTTTGAATGGTGCTGTAAATATCTGTTAAGAATCTAGAACTCATTAGTCCTTTCTGCTTTTTTCAAGTGCTACAGATGAAGCATGGCGACTATTATCAACTTACCTAGAAAGGTACAAAGTCCAGAATAACTTATATCACCACTGTGTAATCAACAAGCTCTTGTCTCACGGAGTGCCTCTGCCTAATTGGCTTATAAACAGTTACAAGGTAAGTGGTATCTTAACTTATATAGAGTAAGAAGCTGATCTTTACCATTATGGATAAACTTCATGAGATGATTAAAAAGAAAAGGTGATAATTTATGGAAATATACTGACATATGCTTTGGGCAGTGTCTCAATCTTAGTTAAAAACACTAAGAACAGCTTAACTTTAATTCCATATGAAGTACTGGGTGTTTAGAATTAAAGTTCTGCGGGTTAGTGATTCAGTTAATGCCTGCTTGTTTTCTCACTGAACAATGAGTATATATTTAGAACAATGACTCTACGTGTGACACAGTATTTACTGTTTATTACTCAAAAAATTCACAGAAGTGAGTAGTTTTCAAAACTACAAAACGGTTTAAGTTTTTGTCAAAATTGGGTTTTTGGACTGCCTGCATCAGAATTTATTTGGGTAGCGGGCTTCTTCAAATACAGATCCCTGAACCCCACCCCACCCTTCCACACTTACACAATCAAATTAACCTGGAGCTAGAATCTGGGATCTATATTTTACCAAGCTTCTAATTTGATACGATGAATGCTTAGGTTTGAAAATGTATATCTGAAATACATTGGGTGGAATAGGGAAAGAGAGAATGTAAAGCTTAAAATCAGGAAAGTTGGTCTGTTTTGGGGGGGCGTTATTTTTTGTTTAGGTTAGAAAGTAGAAAAAGCAGTTAAGATGGTGAAAGTTAGGACTGTGGTCAAATCAGAATATACAAAGCATAATTTCCTAATTAGTAGAGACCTTCCAAACTGAGGTTGTAATCACTTTTGTTTCACTCTGAGTTAAACAAATTTAACTCAGGTATTTAAAGTTGATAATTCTTTTAACTTCTTTTGCATTTGTCATTCCTATATTTCTGAAAATTAATGTGAATATATTGCTCTCTAGTGTTCAGCATTTCTGAGAAGGTATGTTGAAACTGTAGAAAAGTATTAAATAAAATGTGTCTGGGATGCCTGGGTGGCTCAGTCGGTTAATCGTCTGCCTTCGGCTCAGGTCATGATCCCAGGGTCCTGGGATCGAGTCCCGAGTCAGGCTCCTTGCTCAGCAGGGAGCTTGCTTCTCCCTCTGCCTGCCACTCACCCTGCTTGTGCTTTTTCTCTCTCTTTCTCTCTCTCTGACAAATAAAATCTATTTTAAAATAATTTAAAACATATAAATAAGTAAATAGATAAATAACTAGATAGATAGATAGATAGATAGGCCACTTAACAAGATAAAGTCTCACAAGGTACCCAGACATGACCGGGCTCTGAGGAATCCAGCTCTTAACCCAAGATAAGGGAACCCAGATGCTCATTTACTTACACTGAGAAGTATTCATGCCAGGGAATTAGACACTCGGCATCCTTTGGTCATTGCCTAGGTAGATGTTCGTAATCTCTGACTCTTTACAGAAGGTTGATGCTGCTGAGTTGCTCCGTTTGTACTTAAACTATGACCTTTTAGAAGAAGCTGTGGATTTGGTTTCAGAATATGTAGATGCTGTACTGGGGAAAGGACATCAATACTTTGGAATTGAGGTAGGCATGTATGCATGTTCCTTTTTAATTCTGTATTATTACCCTAATAAAGTCAGGATGTGAAAGTAGATTGAACTATAGGACAGTGGATTTAACCTTTACTCTTTGTAGTTATACGACTGGTTTTCTCCACAATCAGGAACTGGCACTATAGGAGTCTCCAGCTTCTTGTTTATAAAATGGGAATACATTTCATTTTTCTCCATCAAAGAATGTAGCTTTAGTTAGTATTTGGAGGAGTGAGGTAATTACAAACAAAATGTTCTTTTCTGTGTGCCAAAGACTGTGCTGGGTCTCTGCAACTGTTTTCTCATTTAATCCTTACAGCCAACTCTGAGAGATTGTTTTAACCTTTTTTTTTTAACCCATGAAGAAACAGAGGCTCAGAGGTTAAGTAAGTTGCCAAAGTTCACACAGATGGTAAAGAGAAGAGCCAGGTCTAAAATCTAGGGCTAGTTAAGTTCAAGCAAAGCTCTTAAGCTCTCAGGAAAGTATTGAGAACTTTGAAAGGTGAGCTTTCCCTTTCTAAACTTTTTTCCAGATAATCTGAATTAAATTTCAGACTGCAAATAGTCTCATTCATTGACATTTAGAGTTTGAGTGCATTTTTCCTTAATAGGCCTTAGGGCTCCTTCAAGATAAGAGCTGACATGAATTTAAAAATACATATGGATGGATGGATGGATGGATAGATAATACATTTGATTTAACTGAGAAAAGGACCAGTTTCCCAGTTGAAAAGAGAAGCAAGGGGGTGGGAGTGGCACAAATGTGTGTCTGTGTGTATGTGCAATTTCTTATTGTAAAAAAGAAATAAGAATTTTATGTGATTCAAGCCTGTGAAGCTAATTGCCCAGAAGAAATGGTCTACTTTTGAGATTTTCTTCAAATAGGTATTTTCCGTTTCAGTTTCCACTGTCGGCAACAGCTCCGATGGTGTGGCTCCCGTACTCTTCTATTGACCAGCTTCTCCAGGCTCTGGGAGAGAACAGTGCCAATAGTCACAACATTGCTGTAAGTCAGTCCTCTCACGAGGCACCCATCTTTTATAAACCCTTGCACCAGCACTTACTCCTAAAGCTTCCTCTTCGGTTCTCAAGGATTAAAGGGAGAGCAGAAGCCATTTGTTGCCCTTACCATGCTGGCCCAGTCCCTTTACAAAATGATTAGTTAAGCCAGATGTAGCCTCTCTGGTTCTGAGAAGCATTACTGGGGTGGGGGGATGAGGTCGCTGGGGGATGGGCACGCAGGAGGGCATGTGATGTGACGAGCACTGAGTTTGATAGGCCACTGATGAATCACTGACCTCTACCTCTGAAACTAATGATGTTCTATATGGTGGCTAATTGAATTTAAATAAAAAAAAATACTGGTGTGATTTGCATGTAGGTGACAGGATTGGGATACTGCATGCAACAGAGAAGTCTGATTTAATCAGTAGTCACAGCAGACTCCTGTACTGAACTGAGTAAACGAGGCAGAGTGGCGAACATCTTTATCAGGGGGAGGCTGGTTAGTGAAGTCACAGTGCTTAATAAAAACTTCAGGGTTTGTTTTGTTTTGTTTTGTTTTTTAGTCCTTGACCTATTCTGTAATGATTCCCTTCTTTTCTCCTACAGCTATCCCAGAAAATACTTGATAAATTGGAGGACTACCAGCAAAAAGTTGATAAGGCAACACGGGATTTATTATATCGTCGGAACTTGTGATCCGAACGGTTGCCTAGCCTTTGTAGCCGCTTGGTGCCTCTTAGGGCTTAAGACTTTACCCTACAGGAACCCTGTATTCCTGGACAGTTTTTATACCTGTAAATGATGTATACAACATCAAGTCTGCATTCTGCGCAAAAGAGGAGGGCAGATGAGTCACAGAACCTGTGCTTGCTGGCGGTGCTAACACACAACTTCTGGTTTTCAACCTTGGTCTCCAACAGCTGCTTTTGTATATGATTCACAAGCCTTTTTAGAGTTTCTATTTTTTTAAACTACCGAAGACATTCTTTATCTGCAAATTAAAGCCCACCCTCACTTTCCAAAATAGCCAATGGTGGTTGGTTGGTTGTAGCTAACCACCAGAAGCAGTCACTGCAAATCCTTCCATTCTTCCCTATCACTTTTTGTATTTCAATGGAATTATTTTGGTCCAGAACTGACATGTATTTTCTGTATTGCAAAAAGAGGCTAATGATTTTGCATACTCTTTTCATTATTTATTGTGGAGTTTTTGTATGATCTTCAATAAAGTATTAAATAATTTGCCTAGATTAAACCTAAAATGATGACCAGCTGTCAAAGAAGATACCTTATTTTGAATCTGGTTCTGAGGCTAAAGTTGAGTAAACTCTTAGCTAAGAAAAAAATTGGAAATTTTATCTATAAGAATAACCAATTTTGAAAGTAAATTCTGTTAACTGTTATGATTTATGATAATCAAGCCAGACTTGATCATACTACTTGTGTAATAATGTATTGGACCAAAATATAAACTTTCCTGGTCAGATTCAGAAGTATTCGTGCCCACAAATTTGGGGGAAGGTGAAAAACGAAATCTTGGATTTTATTCTGTATATTAAAATTTATCTTTTAAGGAAACGATCTGTATATTGTTTGTATGCCCTTTGACCTCTCTTGAGAGTTTTCCGTAGCCTTTACTTTTTATACTGCCAATACCATATTTACATTATATATTTTAATAACAATGTGAGCTTCACAGTGGTACCATTTACTGGTAGATATTGAGATGTATGGTTCTTCTTTCATTTTAGCTCTGCCATGATTAATACGAAGTGTTTGATGTAATGAGGGACTGGGAAAGCCCTTGTCCTGCAAGACCTCTATAAACCTGTAGCTTCCAGCTGTAGCAAGAAATACACGTATATAACCAAATATACACATATAAAACCAAGAGAAAGATCTCACAGAATATGTATCCTCACTCACCATGTACCCTGATGTTTTCATGAGCAACTAATGGATCATAACCTATAGTCGGAAAAATATCAAATCCTCTTTGAGCCATTTTGGAGAACATAACGTAACTTGAGACTGGCCCTGTTCCAGCAACTTACCCACTTGTGTTGCTCATCAGAGCAGGGGTTTCCATGGTGCCAGTTCACAGGACCCTGACCAGTTTTTCCTGTTGTCAGTATTTTGGTTCAAGACCTAACCCGTGCTGGAGCCAACCCAGCTCTGCCGTCCATTTTCTTCTGCTTTCTTCACTCTGGTCCCAACCAGAGCAGAAAGTGGAAATTCTTTCACTAAACTTCTGTCTCCACTTCGGGTCTGCATTTTTGTTGTTCCGGACCATGTGGTATTTTAATAGTCCATAATAGCATTGTTATTCCTTGTTTTTTCCACCCCAAAATTTTCTGATTGCAAAGTGTTATTAAAAGAACTCCCTCCTGTGGTCACTTCGGCAGCACATAACTAAAAATTGGAACAATACAGAGTAGATTAGCATGGCGCCTGCTCAAGGATGACACGCAAATTCATGAAGCAGTCCACTAAAAAAAAAAAGAGCTCCCTCCTTTTTTAGTACTTAGCTACCATTAGAGGTGCCTCAGTGGCGCAGTCAGTGAAGAGTCCAACTCTTGATCTTGATTTCAGGGTTTCTAGTTCAAGCCCTGTGTTGGGCTCCACGCTGGGTGTGGAGCCTACCTAAAATTAAATAAATAAAGGGTGACTCTTAGAGGAAAACTTAATAGTTTTTAATTTAACAAGATATAACTGATAAGGTCCCTACCTTACCAGCCTGTGACTAAAATGGCATCGTTTCTGTGAATAATAGAATTTATGACACACGAGTTTCATCTTGACCGTTCTTGCCAGGTTTATCACTGATTTTTGTGACCTGCCAAGAAAGCTAATGTGTTCTACAAGCCATCTCGTGCAGTGTCCACAGTGCGTTGCCACTGCGGCCAGTTGTCCTTGCTGCCACGCTTGAGAGTCCTAAGGGTTGGCTCTCACCAGCTCGCTACTGGTTTTTCTCTCCGCATTCCGATCCCCTCCCAAAGTCCATGCTGTGTTGTCTCCTACATCTCCACTGAGCACTTAGGGGTAAAGAAAAACACAAGCTTAGGGGCGCCTGGGTGGCTCAGTCGTTAAGCATCTGCCTTCAGCTCAGGTCATGATCCCAGGGTCCTGGGATCGAGCCCCGCATCAGGCTCCCTGCTCGGCAGGAAGCCTGCTTCTCCCTCTCCAGCTCCCCCTGCTTATGTTCCCTCTCTCCCTGTCTCTCTCTGTCAAATAAAATCTTAAAAAAAAAACAAAAAACACAAGCTTAAAAACCGGATACAAGATCTGGAAGCTTATAGAAACCATAGACTGCCCATCCCCATAGATTCTACTCTTCAGCCACCTTTTAGTTGCCAGCCTGTTCTGGTGTGCCTGATACCAACATTTCTCTCACAGAGGGGAATGTAAATATAAATGGGATTTCTAGGGGCGCCTGGGTGGCTCAGTCATTAAGCATCTGCCTTCGGCTCAGGTCATGATCCCAGGGTCCTGGGATCGAGCCCCACATCGGGCTCCCTGCTCAGCGGGGAGCCTGCTTCTCCCTCTCCTACTCCCCCTGCTGTGTTCCTTCTCTCGCTGTGTCTCTCTCTGTCACATAAATAAAATCTTTTTAAAATAGAAATAAATAAATGGGATTTCTATTTAGTTAGTCAACAAATGAAAAGTCTATCACATGCTAGGTAACAGAATTTACCCAATTTACCTCAACCTGGTACATTGTTTTCTACTAGAACACAGTATAACAAAGTTCTAAAGTGTCCTTTAATCTTCACAGTTCTTTCCAATTTTGTCTGTATCTAGAAACTGATAGTCCTGTATTACTGTTTTTTCACAAATTGAGACCTTAGTGTAATAAGTAACTCATTAACCCCAAGCCACAAGAACATACCTTTCCACATTTGCACGGAATTCCACCATCAAAAGACCAATTTGTTGTTCAAATGACCCATGCCAGTCTGTATAAACCAAAAGTAGGTATTCCAGTAAATGAGGTTTTGTGGTTAAATGAAGTCACTTCTATAAAACATGCAAGATCAAATAATGTAGTATAATAATATATCGGGGCCCCTGGCTGCTGGTTCAGTAGAGCATGCAACTTGACCTTGGTTGGGGTCATAAGTTTGAGCCCCATGTTGGATGAAGAGACATATGTATATGTATATGTATACACACACACACACACACACACACACACACACACACACACACACACATATGATCTTTGTCCCTGATTCCTAGCAGAGAGCTTCAAAAACCCTTGGAATTTCCTGGGTGATAGAATTCTGTCTCTGTTAGGCTAATCAGGTGACTAGTGGAGGACCATTCAGAATAGGGCCAGTTTCCAAGAGGACTAATCCTGTGACGGTGATTACAGGGTTGGAACTTTGGTCCAGCCCAACCTTCTGGGAGGACAGAGACTGGAGATTAAGTTCAATTACAGTCACACTGGGCAATGATTTAATCAATCATACCTATATAATGAAGTCCCCGTAAAAACTACACCAAGGCTGAACAGAGGTTCCCAGTTGGAGAACACTTTGTTGTGCTGGAAGGGTGACATGCCCTAACTCCACCGAGGGGCAGGCAGGCAGGCAGCATGCATGCGAGCTCCGTGCTCCCTCCCAGACTTCAACCTATGTTTATAATAAAAGTGTAATCCTAAGTGTGGTGCTTTCCTGAGTCCTCTGAGTGGTTCTAAGAGAATTATCAAACTTGAGGTTGTGGGAACCCCCAATTTTATAGCCAGTCAAAAGCATGAGTGTCCTGGGGAACCTCACTCACTTAGAGCTGGCTTCTGAAGTAAGGGCAGTCCTGTGGGGGAAATGAGGCCTTAAACCCATAGAACCTGTGGCTCAGTTGTTAAGCGTCTGCCTTCGGCTCAGGTCATGATCCCAGGGTCCTGGGATGGAGCCCTGCATCGGGCTCCCTGCTCCTCAGGAGGCCTGCTTCTCCCTCTCCCACTCCCCCTACTTGTGTTCCCTCTCTCGCTGTGTCTCTCTCTGTCAAATAAATAAAATCTTTAAAAAAAAAAATACCCAGGGCGCCTGGGTGGCTCAGTTGGTTAGGCGACTGCCTTTGGCTCAGGTCATGATCCTGGAGTCCCAGGATGGAGTCCTGCATCGGGCTCCCTGCTCAGCGGGGAGTCTGCTTCTCCTTCTGACCCTCCCCCCTCTCATGCTCTCTCTCTCTATCTCATTCTCTCTCTCAAATAAGTGAGTACATAAAATCTTTTAAAAAATTGTTACAAAATACAAAGGACATTGTATGTTAATAAAAGTTTTAAAAAAATAAATAAAATTAAAAAAAATACCCATAGAATCTGATGCTAACTTGGGGGGGGTCATCAGAATTGATCAAAATGCACCTACTTGGGGGTGAGACTGAATATAAAATTTAGATAATGCACACAAAGCTTCAATCTACCCTACTAAAGCTGGGAATTCTGGAGACAGTTCACTTCTGTAGGTGGCCTCTTTAAGTTCCAAAACCTAGAGCTTTAAAATGAATTCAGGAATGGGGCCCCTGGGGTGGCTCACCCAGTCGGTTGAGCATCCGACTCTTGATTTCAGCTTGGGTCATGATCTCAGGGTCATGGGATTGTGCCCCGTGTCGGGCTCCCTGCTCAGTGCAAGTCTGAGATTCTCTCTCCCTGTCCCTCTGCCCCTCCCCCTACTCATGCACATGTTCTCTCTCTAAATAAACAAATAAAATCCTTACAAAATAGTAAAATGCATTCAGGAAGGTCAACTTCTGAAGTTAACATCAAAATACCAAGTAAAGACATTGCCCACTGCACACCAGGTATAACTAAATATATTTGAAAATACGTGTTTATTTAAATGATTGTTCTTCCCAGCTTTCACTTGTCAAATGTCAGCCCTGATCATTTGGTTTTACTAAAACAACATTATCACCACAACCAAAAAATCTCAGTAAATCCAGAGGTGCTAAAGTCCCTGGCAAACAAGGATCAGGCCTGATTTTTCTTCAGAAGAAGTGACTGACCACTTTGAGTCTAGATATATGCAAACTTTCCTATAAAGAGCCAGGTAATAGTTCAGGCTCTTTGTAGTCTACATATGGTCTCTCTTACATATTCTTTGAAATTTGTAGAATCCTTTAAAATGCCTGATTTAGCTATAATTTACCTACCCCTCGTCCAGATCCTTAACGCCTTCTCTGAGGCCAATCATACAAAAATATGTCTCCTTCAAAAGCCAGTGGTTCTCAACCCTGGCTAAACATTAGAATAACCTAAAGAGCTTTTACTTTTTAATTTTTAAAAAAGATTTTATTTATTTATTTGAGAGAGAGAATGAGAGAGAGAGAGCTGGAGAGGCAGGAGGGTCAGAGGGAGAAGCCGACTCCCGGCTGAGCAGGGAGCCCGATGCGGGACTCGATCCTGGGACTCCAGGATCATGACCTGAGCCGAGGGCAGTCGCTTAACCGACTGCGCCACCCAGGCGCCCCAGAATAACCTAAAGAGCTTTTATTTGTTTTAAAGATTTTATTTAAGACAAAGAGAGAGTAACAGAGAGAGCCCAAGCTGGGGGAGAGGCAGAGGTAGAGAATAGGCTCCCCACTAATCAGGGAGCCCGATGTGGGCTCAATTTGGGCCTTGATCCCAGGACCCTGGGGTCACCACCTGAGCCCAAGGCAAGGCAGATGCTCAACCGACTGAGCCACCCAGGTGCCCCTAAAGAACTTTTAGAAAAATAATTGATAGGGGTGCCTGGCTGGCTTAGTCAGAGGAGAATGACTCTTGATCTCAGGATCCTGAGTTCCAGCCCCAGGATGGGTGTAGAGATTATTAAAAAAAATGATAATAAAATAGGGGCACCTGGCTGGTTCAGTCAGAAGAGCTTGCAACTCTTGATCTCAGAGTGGTGAGTTTTGGCCCCACTTTGGGTGTAGAGATTACTTAAATAAAATACTCAAAAATAATAAAAAATAATATAGAAGTTAAAAAAAAAAGGTTTTAGGGCGCCTGGGTGGCTCAGTCGGTTAGGCGTCTGCCTCTGGCTCAAGTCATAACCCCAGGGTCCTGGGATCGAGCCCCACCTCGGGCTCCCTGCTCGGCGGGGAGTCCGCTTCTCCCTCTCCCTCTGCTCTTCCCCCTGCTCATGCTCTCTCTTGCTTACTCTCCCTCTCAAATAAATAAATAAAATCTTTTTTTTAAAGATTTTTTTAGGTTTACCTATTTATTTGAGAGAAGAGAGAGAGAACACGAGCAGGGGTGGGGAGGGGAAGCAGAGGGAGAGGGAGAAGCTGGATCCCAGGACCCTGAGGTTTGGACCTAAGCTGAAGGCAGATGCTTAATCGACTAAGCCACCCAGGTGCCCTTAAATAAGTACACTTTTTAAAATAAATTTTTAAACAATAATAAATAAATAAAATTGATATTGGGATGCTTGGTTGGCTTGCAGCTCTTGATTTTGGGGTCCACAGTGGGCATAGAGCTTACTTTAAAATAAAAAAATTGATATGGGCTCTGT